TACATTTAACGAACAAAAAATACTCCAAATGTTTTTCTGAATTTACTTTATAAAAAAACGAAACTAAATATCACTTTTCCATTACATACAAAACTGAACTATTTTACTAGCTGAAACAGTATAAGCTTTTTTTGGGAAAATGGGAAAAAGGCCTATATTTGAGACCCGTGCAGGGCTTTAATCCACTTCATCCAGCGCTGTTTTGTTCTCATCTGTGAGCATGCTCTTGATATATGTATTTTAGGTGTGTAAATGTATAATTTAATTTAAATATAAATTGGATTCTCATCATTTTTTTCAGTTTTATTTAAATTTGTAGTTAAAACAACTAAAAATAAATGTATTTTAAAGTTTAGAATTAGACAGCACACAGGCTTACGCTGAAAACAACAAAATGGAACCTCAAGGTTGATCTAAGAAAATGTGTGCAAATGTATAGGGCCCCATTCCACTAAATCCGCCCCTGATCGTGTAAGGACCCTTGCTGTCTATGGGAGGGTCAGAGAGCTCTCAGAATTCATCAAAATATCTTAATTCGTGTTCTGAAGATGAACGGAGGTCTTACGGGTTTGGAACAACATGAGGGTGAGTAATTAATGACAGAATTTTCATTTTTGGGTGAACTATCCCTTTAAGTTGATAATTAGATACAATTCACTGTGACAAACTACAGTTAAACCTTGCATTATTACAATTGTCTCAACTGTGAAAGCTAAAATGTAACACAATATTGCAAATTTGAGAAGCAAAACTGTAGGCGTTTATGATAAATACTTACTGAAATACTTTCTAACGGTCAATGTGTGAACAACAATAGGAAACAGTAAATACCTTTTGGTAGATGTTTTCTTCTCACTGAAGTTTGGTCCATCACCTTTTGAATGGTCACTCTTCACAGACACAGAGCTGACCACATCAGAGCCTGATTGTTCGCTAATGAGAAAAGAAGTTTAATTTAAAGACATTTTTAATGTTCTAATTAAATTCAATTAAGTTCTCAAAACTCTCTCTCTCTGCATGCTATACTGTAACCATTCATTATTATTTTTCACTCAACTGCAGGGGAAGAAATTAGCTAATTAGCTATTGAACACCACTCCAAGACTCCCCAATGCGAGTGGCTTTTTCCATTAACTGCAGTTAATTCAATTTTATTCTAACATTTCCTACATAAACACCACAACTATCAGCAGTGACACATCTTGTCAGCATTTGTTCTGCCACCGTATAAATTACCAGCGAACTATTTCCTGCATCCCTTCATGGACTTTAGACTCTAGCAAAGTTAATTTCCTACTTCTATAAACACTTACAAACACTGAGTGTTAGTTATCCATTGATTAGTTACAAGGCTATTCCCTCCTTCTCACCCCATCGGTGAGTTTCTTCTGATGCTTTTGGTTTAATGACTTCAAGTTTATGATCTCAGTCCATTTTCTTGGTGGCAAGTTAAATTGTAGTGAACCAAACATTTGGACAAATATTTGACAAACCAACTATGACTCATTGTTGACTGCAAACATTTTTTTCTAAATACACCATACAGTTTATGTATGATCAACAATAATAAATACCTTTTGGAAGATGGTGTTTTCTCACTGAAGTTTGGTCCATCACCTTTTGAATGGTCACTCTTCATAGACACAGAGCTGGACACAGGTGAACCTGATCTTTCACTGACAAGAACAGAGAGAAAACACTATTAAAGGAGGTTCTTCAGTCTCATTTGAAGAGCATTTGCCATTCTCATGACTATGGACAGATGAATGTGTTTATGTGTAGTTTAATCCGTTAAGTTCAATCACAGACACAACAGTGAAGACATGTAAATAATGTATGTAAAGCACATAAAATACCTTTTAGCTTGTGATGGTGTTTCATCACTGAAGGACACATGTAGGCCCGGTTTTTCACTAATAACACAAAGGAGTTTCCTCAGTCTCATGTGAAGAGGTTTCATTCAGATGGTAATTACAGTAAGTACAATTTAACAAACTATATCTATGCATAATTCTTCTCCCATATAAACAGCTATCACAATGCTATAAATCAATTGCTTTTTTGATAAACAAAACTCTAAAGTGTTATGATAAAGTCAAAAAGAAATACTTCCTAACACAGCCTATGTGTGTCTGACAATAAGAAACATATGAAATACCTTTTGGTAGGTGTTTCCTTATTGAAAAGTGGTACATCACCTTTCGACTGATCACTTTTTACAGACTCCGAGCTGGAAACCTCAGAGTCTGATCTTTCCCTAATGACACAAAGAGGAAAGAGAGAGAAAACTAACATTTTATGGCAGGAGGTACTTATATTAAGTGTGTTGTTTTTTTATCTTTAGACATGATATCAGTAACTTAATATTCTAGTCACTTTGAGTTTGACTGGATAAGGAGACGTCTCTTCTTGAAACTTTTTTTTTTTACATTACCACCACCAAACTGTCCTGGACATTTCATTAGCATTTGGTAGATACTTAATAATGGTAGATACTTAGATAATCCAAAGCAACACGTATTCAATAGAGCCACATATTTGATCAGTTTGAACAAAAACATGATCTACTCTTATGAGTTAGAGCAACACAACCAGGAACAAAGTTGTGAGACCTGGCAGATCACCAATGTTTGAATAACTCAGCTAACCGACTGTTATTACTATCCGCATTGCTGTGACATGACGAATGCCTTTTCGATTCAGAGAAATGAAAGTTGTAACTGAGGTGCAAACGACATCTTTACTGAACTCTGGACTCTAGAGAAGTGTTTGAATTTTATAGACTGTTATAAAGGAACACATAATTTTATCCCATTTTTCACCCATCTTGCTGAACTTTTATGATAAACACTTTACAGTAAAAGAGCTGCAATATTGAAACTTAAGTAGTGTTTAAAATGATTCTTTAAATACAGACTCAGTCTTACCTCTGTTCCACTGAGACACTCATCTCAGATGGAGAGTCCTTTCCTTGCTCCTCTGACATACTGCAGCTAAACTGCCATTGAAACAGCACTGGTATCTTTGTGTTGAAGATATTCAGCTGCTCAGCACAACCTGGACATGAGGTGAAAAAAAATGACAAATGTTGAGTTGGACTAATCTTAACGTTAATATTACATTTAATTTAGTGTAACCAAACAGTGTCAGGTTCAGATGTATTTCAGGCAACTCTTCATAATATATAGGCCTAGCTGTAAACGTAGAAACATAAGTACATAATTTCTTTATATTACAGAGGGGGAAACTGAACTTTCTGTGTAGTTTTATATATTTTGCACTCACTTTTACGCAACAAATTAACCATTTTTATACAGCGTGGGATCATTACGTCACAATTTATTATATTAATTTAAACTTCTCCCACAATAGCTGAATATATAAATGCAGGCTATTGAGCTAAGTGAACTGAAATATTCTATTTAATCACAGCTGATTGATTACATTCTCTTTTGACACAAATTAAAAGACATTAAAGCACATTCACCACGTGCTTACCCGCCTAACTGTGAAGGTTTCCCGTTGGTATACTTTCGATTTCGCATCATCAAGAAAATAAAAAGAGGGATTTAAAAAATAAAAAATACCCTGTAATAGGCTACATTAATACATATATCATTAACTGTTCATTCACATATCACTAACTGCAATCAAGGACGTCTTAAAACTTACTTGCAGTAGTACGACGGTCTTCAGCACCCAGAACGCTGTGCAGAATGCTTTCTATTTCTCCCCTTTACGACCCTTGTCACATGGTGCGATTCATGCGAATTTGTTTCATTTACGGTCTTTCCTGCTTGTTGACTTCGTTCATGGTTAAGCGTTAACTGGCCGTTTCGACATTCTCATTTTGCCTGCATTAAAGCTAAAAAAAATGCAGCACATTTGAGTCTTGAATTAAATTGTGTTAGATCTTTACCTAGTTCATATCATTCTGTCGGCTTAATCAATTTGCCCTTGAGAGGTGACGTTATAATTCTGATAGAGTAGGCTATATCCTGACCAAACAGTAATGTTTTTGTTTTAATATGCGGGAACATCTGGTTGTGATTTATCGAAATGGGCGCCTCCAAATTGCTCTGTCCTAGGATCAGTTTAATAACCAATTTTCACGCCATCATCTTCATTAACCTAAACTCATCATGAAGTGTATTTTATTTATCTATCTTTTTCCACCCATTATTTCTGAACTGCAAATGGATGCATCGACTGCCTGCAACACTTTCGGTTTCGTTTATATAAACCTCAAATGAGTCCAGCTTAACATGTAAGCTATATGCTTGCTTTGTAAGCTTTGTGAATAATACAATAGTTTTGCAAAAACTTGTTTCCGTGATTTTTAAATCAAAACGGCGTTAAAGGACCGGTTGAAGAAACAGACGCAAAACCAGGTGCAGTAACAACTGCATTTCATCTTTTACCATTAGATGACAGTAAAGTAGCCTCTATATGGCTTCGATTAACCCATGGGTTCGCACAGATTTGAAAGTGAAATTTAAAGCACTTCATCAAAGTGTACACCCGGTGGTTTTCAAGAACAGGGAAGCGGTTTATTATAAATCGTTATTGATCTCTTAAATAGATCCTGTGGTCATCAGCAAAAAACACTGGCTTCAGGGAGGACAAATTGCAATTGAAATCTCAATGCGCATGCTCAATATGAATAATCACAAACAAATTGTATGCAAAGAGTGCTCGGAAGTAAATTGCAATGAGGTGAACTTTGTGAATGGAAGAGCAAAAACAATTTTCGTGTTATCATTTGCTCCAACAGCAAAAGTCAAGTTACCTTTATTTTTTTTATAGCGCTTTAATTAGGCCTAAAGCAGTGCCGGCCCATCCAACAGGCGGTACAGGCAGTCGCCTGGGGCCCCACCTTAAGAGGAGGGACCCGCGCGGCCGCAAGGTTGTTTAATTTAAATTTAAATTTCAAGGTGTGTTCAACTTGAAGCGGTGCTGTGCAGACAGATCGGTGTTTGACATTGAAGTACCGTGAGAACTATAAATACTAATGGGCAGCTCTGCATGGTTTCCTATCCAATTGCAGTACTTTGATGTCAAACACCGATCGATCTGTGCAGCGCCCAAGTCAACACGCATACAGATGACGCACCAGGGCTGTACAGTGCGTTCCAAATTAATTTCATTACACCATCCAGTGTTAGACATAACTTCCTTTTGTGATCTGACGTGGAATTACAGAATGAGGCAAAATCATTTTATAATATTCTATACAGTGATAAAAGCTAGCCTATGTCGATTAGCATTGCATTATAAATATACATTCTGCATATAAAAATATACCCGAGATGTCTTGAAGAGCAGAGATACACCATTTAGCCACAATCGTATTTATTGTCTTCATTCTTCATCAGTTAAAACGTCCTATCTGCGTTTTATTCAGCTACTGCAGCCATAGCATATGCGTTTGTCTATTAGGGATTTCCTCCTATGTGATTCTTGTGAGTATTGATTTTATGATTTTTTCACTTATGGTTTTACTGCAGGAGGACGCCCTCCAGCTACCTCTCTCTCTCTCTCTCTCTCTCTCTCTCTGCATAAAATTTCCTGACAAAAATTAAGAAATTACTGTCAATGATTTTTAATCATAATAATTTATAATAAATCCTTAGACCTTTAGCTATAGGCCAGCAGTTTTCTGTAAAATAAATTAATAATAATCATTGTCAATATTACTTTGTTTAATGTTTTTATTTAGTTATAACTATGATCAGAATTATTAGTAGTCATATTGATATATAAAAACAAATTTTTTTGGGCCAAATTGTGCAGATCTACAAACAGGCACAGCAAGCTTAGTGTTCTTTATCATTTCTAGCAAATAAAGAAAAAGTTTATCTGAAAACTTGTCTAGTTACAGTTCGGATTTTGTGTGCAGATTTCGGAATTGAAAGAATGATAGAGAGATTAAAGTGAAATTGTGGTAGAAATGGAATCCAAACGGTATCTTTATGGAGTGAAAAAAAGGATGTTCTGACTGCTATACATACTTTTTTTTGCTGTAGTATTGGTATTTGTTTTATAAATGCAATGATGCCCACGATCACAGACAGACTTGTTATATGAGGGAAAATTGAGTCATTTCAGCGTGTTACCTTACTAATTACAGACCTGGCTCCGGAATCAAATCACTGAGGTTGCCTCTGAAATTAGTGAGGGTGATCTAACCTTAATATTATATATATATATATATATATATATATATGGCCTAACCATAATATTTTTGTGCCATTCATTGCTATGGTGCAAAGAGTGTTCCTTTATAATCACTAAAAAGCTGTCATTCACTTTAGTTAATCATGATCTCACAAAGTTACGTTAAAATCAATGAATGCAGAACTCAACACTGATGTTTATTTTTATGCTCACTTAATTTTATTTAGTTTTTGTGTATAATTCATTTATTATTTTATTTTAGATGTGTTTCATGTATATCTATTTATTTTCATTTTTCAAGCTCACTTGCACTTAAATTTTTTTAGTCTGTTTAAATATTTTTACCTATGTTATTGAAATTGCCATTTTATGTGCTTTCTCATTACTTGTCAAATTACTATGACAATTTTTACACTAGTGGGGCCTATTTTCATTATCTTGCCTAGGGCCCCACAACCCTACGGGCCGGCACTGCACCAGTGCCAGTGGCTTAGGCCTAAATGTTACTGTAAATGTAAATGTTACTCTAAATGTTGTTTTTGATGCTGAAATGGAAGTTGAACTTGCTGCTTCATACAATTTGACAGATGAATTCGTTGCAATCTCTATTTTACGCGCATGAATTTGGATTTATTTTGTTTTGTTCTGTAAAAGGAGAATCTCTTTGGTAGGTAAGGACCTTTGACATTAATGTTCTACATGTTTGTACTTGATTATTCGTATATTTTTTTAACTTTGTCTTGCTCTGTTTGAAAGTGAAAGTGAAGTGACGTTTGGCCAAGTATGGTGACCCATACTCGGAATTTGTGCTCTACATTTAACCCATCCGAGTGCACACACACACAGTAGTGAACACACACACACACACACACAACACACACACAACACACACACACAACACACACAACACACACAACACACACACAGCACACACACAACACACACACAACACACACACACACAACACAACACACACAACACACTCACACACAACACACTCACACACACCCGGAGCAGTGGGCAGCCATATTGCTGCGGCGCCCGGGGAGCAGTTGGGGGTTCGGTTCCTTGCTTAAGGGTTTCAGCTCAGTCGTGGTATTGAGGGTGGAAGAGATTGCTGGTATTCACTCCCCCCCACCTACAATCCCTGCCGACTCGAACCCGGGACCTTCGGGTTACAAGTCCGACACTCTATCCATTAGGCCATGTTCGGTTATATGTTCAAAGACAATTATGCATTTATTTACACAGCATTTAAATCTAGTGATTATTATTATTATTATTATTAAAAGCACGTTTATGACATTATTATTATTTTTTTACATTGCCCTGGCATTAAATGACGATAGGCCTATAGGCTATAGTAGCGAGGTGATTTATAACAGACCTTAGGGAGTGAGTTACAGTCATTTTGACATGTTTCTTTCTTCTTACTGTCATAATCCATCTTTGTTTTTTTCTTCTTTTGGAAAGTCATCGAATCGCAATGATGGATTTTATTTTCCTGAACTGAGTTCGATTCAACTGCTTGTAGGTGAAATTAACCCATTTCATAACTGATGAACTTCACATGGTTATTGAACTGAACTGAATCAATACTGAACTGACTTGAGCTGAATAATGTATTTTTAGAGGTGCTTTACAGCAGAATTGTTTTCTCGTTTATGAAGCTGCTTTGAAACAGTCTGTATTCTTGTATGGACTATCATCGAAATTGTAGTGATATTAAAGTGTTATTGTATAAAGTAATAAAAATGATATTAAATTAATTAACTTTTTTGTACTAATTAACGTTGTTAATTATTGCAAGATTAACGTTAAATATTTTCAAGTAGGACACGGAGGCCTACATCTCCAAGATGTTTGCTAAAGAGCACTTCATGTTGAAAACATCTGTTGTATATCTGACAAACATCAGAAAGCATGAAAAGCAGTTTATCATACATTCTGAATCATAAAAATCTTAGACATTTTATAAATGTCTAGCATTTATCAGGAGCAAGCTATTGCAGATGAGCAAATGCTCTAAAAAAATACTTCTTTCAGATGAAAACATGCAAGATGTCTAGGCTAATTAAAATTTAAAGTTTCTAAACTCTGTATAAGCTCTGTGAAATCAATTTTAATACATTTAATTTAAAACTTAGTAAGAACTTTAGTAACTTAACAGAGCGAACAGTATAAACTTACAATATTAACCTTGGTCGTTAAAGTTGTTGTTGAAAGCACAACAGCATCACTTTGTGGAATGGAGAAGAAAAAAAAACAGGATCTTTATTTTCCGATGCGCAGGACTCCATCAGAGCGAAAAAAAGTAGAAAAAGTTGTTTAAATACAAACAAGAACAGAATTCAAATTAACAATCAACCAATAAGGAGGTTGGAATAGATCAGATGGTATGATGTCTACCAATTGCGTGTGGACTGCATTCCATTGGATCACCCAGATCCAGATATGCAAACTTTTCCAGATTACTATGGAAATATGAATTGGGACCCTAAATGGGACTACACATCACAATATAAAGAACTACACGTAAA